TTGGTACTACTCTACTTAACCCTTCTAGCCTAACCCTGTAACGTAGCTGATCTTGAAGTTCATGTAGACTACATGTGACGTCACCAATCGACCAACAATCGAGAACTTATACCAACTTCGCATCGACTAAACAATGTTTAGCAAAAATAGTGCTGCACAATACATGCATTACCAATTCTTTGAAGCAGGGATTTCCCTCATCTCTTCACTAGCTGCATTCTCTGGACCACACACTCTTCTCAACAGTAGTTTCTCACCGCAAAATGAGTTTTTGACAAATTATTTAGAAAGTATCCTTCCATGAACGATGCCTATCACAGCATCTGCGTTGGTTAAGTGATTGATCGCAAGAAGCCCAGGAACAAGCTTCTATGCACCAAAATAAACCAGCGGAAATAAAATGACACCTACAGGTGTCATAGCGGCCATTATCGCACTATGGAGCCTGGTGAGATCACTTATCGCGAAAGTTTTAATACGGCATAAGTCCCAAGATGTCCCATTTACACAGCTATATCTACAAATCTCTTCCATAAAAAAGTTTATACATGACTTATGAAACAAATGCTCACATATTAGAATCACATAAATAGTAGCAATTTCTCTTAAGAAAAACAAATGACAAGAAATAAGACACCATTTGTCTACAACCACCCGAATATTACGGCACAGTAAGAAAGCAAATTTATGGGAATTCAAAGTACTGAGAAGTTAGATGAGTATGAAGCATTTAAGTAAGCACGCACTTCACAAAAGTATTTGTTAAGGTGAGGTCCAAAGTGAAGGAATCTAACCTAGGAACCATAGAGAAGCGCTTGTATTGAAATTTGCCATTCCTTACGATTCCTTTGACTTTAACTGTTCCACTTCATAACTAGAACCTTTCAAAAACCGGAACGCATTATGTTGCAGTACTTAGTAAAGTAGTAAAAATAATTCTCTCAAAAGAAATTTGTTTAGAAAGTCCAATGCATCACACTAGATTTTATGATACCCCCAAATTGATGCTAGCATAGAGTTATAATAGAATCAAGTACTCATGCATTTTAAGTTGTTCACAGTGTTGAATCACTGGACAGGGTTTGCGTAGTCGGACGATTCATCAAATTCGTCCTGGTCTTCTACAGAACAATGTTCAGACGTGGGGGACGCTGAATTCGACCGAGACACGAGTTCCTTGAGCCGTCCACCAAAAGCCTGTAAAGAAAGCGAATATCGATGCAATAAATATTCAACTATAATATAAAACCAGCTCTACTCACATTCAGTCTTCCATCACGATGGAATGTGTCTAGAAAATCTCGAATGAATTCGTCGGATCTATTCCTCCATGTATTAATAAATTCCAAACTTTTCTCTTTAAAAGTGTCCACCTTGTTTTGGATTTGATACTTGCTAGCCTAAAATACGTCGTAGCTCTAAATTAAATGATCCACTGCTAAAGAAATTTTCTGAAGAAAGTCGTTATTCGTATACAATACTGAGATATTTGCAAAACTCCGGACCGCAGGTGTATGCGTGGGGAACGAACGCGCGCTATTGTCCTTTCCGGGGAGTAGGGCACTTCACCACCACACCATCCGGATCCTTCGTTTTGCCTGTCTCTCAGCTAGTTCTATTGATCTTTTGCCATCAGCAATCACCCGTCAACGGGATTGATCTGGGGAGCCCAAATCGGCATTTAACCCAGTTAAGCTGAGACTTAGTTATAATCACAATCTTAACCCTTTTATTTCCGGAGTTTTGCAAATATCTCAGCATTATATACGAGTTATATTTCGCAACATACCATAGCATTAAGAAGAAAAAGGGAGTAAATAAAAGGGTTAAGATTGTGATTATAACTAAGCCTCAGCTTAACTAGGTTCAATGCCGATTTTGGCTCCCCAGATCAATCCCGTTGACGGGTGATTGCTGATGGCAAAAGATCAATAGAACTAGCTGAGAGACAGGCAAAACGAAGGATCCGGATGGTGTGGTGGTGAAGTGCGCTACTCCCCGGAAAGGACAATAGCGCGCGTTCGTTCCCCACCGCATACACGTGCGGTCCGGAGTTTTGAAAATATCTCAGCATTATATACGAGTTATATTTAGCAACATACCCTGCCATTAAAAAGAAAAAGGCAGTAAATAAAAGGGTTAAAGTCGTTATTCTTGGACTTTCTAGCTCCGTGGCAGCAATTGCAAATCGTAAAGCACTTAATCGATGTATTAGCAAAATTACTAAGTGAGCAGTGGTTACACATAATTCAAGATAGACTTCTGATTCGTGTTCCAAAAAAAATGGTTGGAGTTCCCAAGGCCGACTTTCTAATGAACTAGTCATTAACCAAATAATTATTGGATACTTGGATGGCCCATCTTCACTTCTCGTGCGAGCTCCAGCATAATTTCCATTTTATGGAGTTTTGCTGGCTTCGTGGTTCCCTGGAGTGCCGAGGTTAGCCTAGCCAAAGTCTGTCCCAGGTCGTCACCACTACAGGCAACCGCCGTCTTTGTGGATCTGAGCGAGATTTGCACACCACGCGACTAGTCTGATGCCAGGACGGTGGTGGATCTTGGTATTGGTTTACTCTTAGCTAGACTTCCTGATGGAAACGCCGGACTCCTTCTCAGCTTGGGAGGGCCTGCTGAAGGAGATGAATCCTCCCGCTGCACAACGCATCCCGACACGCAGGAACACCTCCCAGCCACGATGAGGTGGTAAACCGCTGAGAGGATTAAATAAGTACTCGACGTAAAAATAGAGAATAATTGATTGGAGTTGCTCACTTGCTTAAAGAAAATTTTCACATTGAAAGACCATAGAACACTCACTGCCAAAAATCCAACGTTGAGTTCCTTGGCTGAGTAGCCTCTTTGTAGATTTCTACGGACGTATTTGTCATAGTCACGAATTATCCTACAAACAACGTCGCTTGTTGACACTCCCTCTGTGCGCTGCGTTTCGATGAACATTTCTAAAAGATACTCGACATTCACGATCATAAAAACTAAAAGAATAACAACCGTAAAGTACCTTCCCTCCTAAACTTTTCGTACAAATCTTCCTCTCCTGGAGCAACGTATGGAATCGCATCGTGGGCAATGAAGTCAACCTAAGTCCATATTTCCAAAAAAAAAGTCGCTAATATAGCAAAAATGAGAAACTTATGTGGAAACAACGCGGTCAAAATACTAATAGTTAGAAAAACAAGACTGCTTCCGAAAAAAAAGCGAAGTCTAATGCGTAAAATACTACAAAACCTATAGGTGATAAAAGTGAACAAAATTCCTTCTTTTGCATCGCACATGGCTCATGAAGTCAGTAACCACTAATAAAACCCACTAAAAATAAAACCCGACGCGTGATCACACCTTCAGGTTTTTCAGAAACTCTACTGTACAGAACCATGGCGCGTTGCGATATACTTCGTCAACATAGCGACAGTGACGGACACCATCGTATCTTTCATCCTCCGATGTGACCGTACGACCTTTGTATTTGAGCGTGTCCTCATCACTACAGACTGAAATATGTCGGTAATTAATCGAGATATTAGAATATATTATCACACTAGGTTAGCAAATAACTCTTCGCCTATTTTCGTATACAATTCCTTCCGCACGGTCAAATTTGTTGTTTTGGGACACTTTACGGCAAGAACAAAAAGAAACACGAACGAAAACAGAAGGTGACAATGCACCAAATCGATGATAATCGACAAACGCCGGCTATCATCTTCTATGACCGGCCCGACCGTTGCTCAGCCTCAGATGGCTTACAACCGTTACGAAAATCAAAATCCACTTTTGGCAAGTACCAAATGACCGGAAGGTTTTTGTTCTGGTTCAAACGCTGTGAAGAAGGTCAAACCTGATAGGAAACCTGTCTCATGCACCAGTCTGGAATGCACATGATGTTCAACAAAGATGGTCTACACAACGAGTTTAAGCCAAACCTAAATTGGAACTTATGCGACTCTCAGAAGCAATCGGCATTGCTCTAGTCAGCAGCTTAACTCAGTAGGTCATCCTACGACGGAGTCTCGTTGGATAACTCGCATTCTGGTTGTTCAGCACCGGTCCAGTTCTTGTGTGAACCTGTACATTTCCGTTGGTTTACAGACATCGACGAATATTTCTGAGGGCGAATGTGAGTAGTAGTGGGAGCAGGATCCACTAGGAGAACAATAATGCCACGCGACATGGTTTTCAAGCGATGAGTCCCCTCCAACTTAGCCGGAACTCTTTTCACATGGTGGTAAATTGATGTTTTCGGCTACTTGAGCCTCTACGACGTATACATCTAGGAGTGCCTGCAGCTAAACTAAGTGGCCAACCCAACTGTTACGCGGAGCAGCTCCGCATGCAAGACGCTGATGTTAAGAATCGGACCTTTCAAATTCCCTTTTATGCTCGACCACACCTAATTTAGCCGCACCTGGTGGAGTTGGGATGGAGTACTAAACTCGACCAGATACTTCGTTCAAAAGTAGCGTCTTTATATTATTACTTGGTCCTTGCTCTAAAATATAACTATATGACAAGCAAGTCGACGAAACGACAACCTCAAAAATTCCCACTCTGTTATTCGAGTCATGCATAAACTTGCCTTCCTGGGAAAAAATGATCAACAACCTAGGCAATAAATCGAATGCTAGCCTAAAAAAGTGCTAGATATGTCACTGCTTAGAAAAATTTTCCATATATCGTTAATTTTCCAAGTGACGAAGAATATAAAGGAAAACGAAAACTCGGCAAACATTTATATCCCAACCGGATGGTATACGATAAAAAAGCGAAAAAGCGAACATGTAGCGCACCACCAACGATAAGGTAGACATTTGGGAAAGCATTTTTGGCTTGTCTGAGTTGATTAGCATGTCCATGGTGAAACAAATCGTATATGCCATCGGCATAGATACGCACAGGACGACCAGCTAAAATCGACCGCTGAATTAATAGCAATCCTTTGGAAAGCTAAGGATAATACTCACAAAGTATCAAGAAAAAGTAGTCCATAAGAAAACCTTCAGAATGCTATTTACTAACCTGCGTCAGCTTTCGCCATTGAAATTGTAATTTTCTTTGTGTAATCAACGCGATTCCTTTCAGCAATTGCTACATCATCATCGCTATACGGTGCCGGTTCTTTTGACGCCAGAGGAAACGGTGCTGCGATTTTCTTAAAAACTCTAGAATTTTTAAAGAAACACTTCCTTCTCTCAGCGTATTTTGACTCTAATAATACGATACTACACGTACGGAGCATACAACTCCGGCATAAGCATACCTCAGAAGAGAGCCGCTTGGTGGGTTGCGGAATGTCCTCCGTGTTTTCGTCAGAAGCGGCACGTTTGCGGACCGATGTCATATCAACTTCCTATATAGGCTAGGCTATACAAATCAGTGAAGGGGAGGTATCTACACAATGAGCGCTACATTTACCTATACAACAAAGAGCCACTCTCATTTGTGATGAACAACATGTTTACGAAACGAGGAATTGAAAAATTCAATGCCAATTGAAAATAAATTTTAAATGACAGACGATCGAGTTACTCTAGTAATATTCAGTGCAAATCTATACTCTAATATTACTCTAATAGCGATATTCTTAACACTGATGAAGTAATATCAAATTCTGTAAAGTCGTAAGACCAAATTAGTTCTTTCAGTAAACACAGATCCATGTATTATCCCTGAAGCATTCTCGGCCGGCTAATGGTGAAGCTATATAGCGCAGTCAGAGGTGACGAACATAAAGCTAAACGGTTTGTAAAAAAGCATTTATTGTTCCTGAGAAAGCGCTCGCATCACATGATGAAGCCCTTATACATGCTATGCCGAATTGACGTACATTTTTCGTATGTACCTAGGCACACCTATGATTGCATCCTCTACGCAGTGCTGTGTGCAACACACAAATAGTTCCTGGTTCGATCCAGCACCAGTATGCTAAGCTTCTCATTAAAACGATGTCGGAAAAGACTGGTAGCAGACTTATCTGTGCGAAACTCTGTTCTGTTAATAGAAGTTACTGAGCGTCAAATGTTGTAAACATGAGATCTCGGAACTTAAGAGAATAGGCTTGATTAGAATCCATTATTTTCATTAGGAAGACAGGTTCCTGAATTGGAAACCGAACTCACAAGCATATCCGAAGATTTTGTGGTTCATGGATGTGAGAAAACGAATCGAATGAATTACGTCTGGGATCAGCAATATACAATGTTGGACGTCATAATAAAGTAATGAATCTATCACATCAGTTCGGCTAAAAGCCTGCAATCAAGTGACTGGGAAGTATAAGGGAAGGTGGTTATGACTCGATTGTAAGAAATAAGCTCCTCTTCGATCCTTTGACGGAAGATAAACTACCAATGAGATTGCTAATTTGCTAGAGTTTGACAATGTTCCTTCGAAATAGCCCGGATCTGCATAAATTCCATGGTTATTGTAGATCACATAAATCTGAGAGAACTATGGTGACGAAATGTACCTACAAACTCCACACTAGCTTATCGATCCTCCGTTGACTCTATGTAGGCTACGAAGATTAGGTACGAAACCATTGAATTGGCCAAGACGAAAAGACACCACCAAAACATCATTTGTTAGAAAAGAACTGTTCTTCGGAACTTGCTATAGTTGAGGAATGGGTGTAGTTGGTATTCTCGTAAACATGAGCTTGGCCTTTAAATAAATAGTGACCCAAATCGGACGCTTACGGTAGATATTATGTAAACGAATATCAGTTTTGACAACTCTATTTCTCTATTTAGTAAAACCAGGATATGACGAAGATATCCGAAGCAATTTATATGGCCTGAAATAGGTTCTACAATGACACAAAAAAAGTGACAGTCATACTTCCCATATCTCCTTCATGGGAACTTTCAACACCAATAGTAAGGACAAACAAACGAATGAAGAAATTACTCAAGGTGGATTACAATTCCAGGAGCTTTATTCTTAAAGTTCTTTTCTTCTCATGACCCACATGAAACATCACATTGTGCGGATCTTAGCATTCATTGCACTGAATTTGTATCGTCGCATCTATAACAAGAGAACCGCAAGAAGTTTACGAAAGTGTCCGGCTGGTGTTAAGAATTTTCGCCTTCGTTAGGAATGTTGCTGACAGCTAGTCCAGTTCATTTTCAGTGGAATTCTGCGATACCCGAGCTGGAACGTTCCCACTATGAACTCTGTATAGAGAATTGACCCTAATCAAATCCGTCAGTAACTTATCAACCCCGAAAGACTGGATGGTTTGATGGGCCTGCGGCGGAGTAGAACTATCACTTGGATAAGTTGGCCCTTTCGCGTAATGATCGGCATCACTACTATTGCGCCACTCTTAACGTTTGAGATTCTAGGTGGAAAACCCCTTGAGATTGGTTGCAATAGAAAAGTGGAAGTTTTGCTTTATCGGCATTACCACAGCCCAAAAGTTCAGTATGAGATTGTACTATCGCCTTGTATTTACAACATAGTTTTTCTTCTTTCGTGAAACAAGTGAAAAAAGTCGCAACCGATGAGATATCAGAACCATCGTAAATTGGTGGCGGTTGTTCTTCCTTTTAAGACGCGCTTCTGAAGACATCTTTAACGAAAACAGCAATGCAAACTGATCCTAAAAAAGTCGAAAGCTTGAGTTCCCAGAAGAAGTCCCCATAAACCCTTGAGTGGAGTCCACCAGCACATCAGAGTCTCCACCGGTGTGGGGTGCCACGAGCACCAAGCAATCACCAACTTAGGTTTGAACTTCTAAGACGTTATAAATACGCAATAAAAGACGATGATGAGGGAACAAGAGTAGTAGTATTGGCAGAAACTGCACTTCGCTAATCAGAAAGCTAAAGTGGTAATAAAAACCTTGGCAATAAAAATACCGTCCATGATTTTCACCCAATCTTTTTCCGATAAGCTACTAACCGTTGTCAAATATTGGGGATGATGGATACGGTGTCAATTGGCTGATTACGGAGAACAAGTGCTCGCACAATGTCTACTGATCTTCAAGGCGGTCATTGCTCGCTTTGGTCGTTTGTACTCTGTTGAGTAGTTCGTCTAGCAGATCATGCTTATGCTTTAAATGGGCAATAATCATCTGGTAGGATTCTCGTGTTATTCTGTATTGGTTAACGAAAGCCTTTGCTTTCCCTTCAAAAGAATCTAATAGATAGTTCATTTTCAAGAAGTCGTCCATTGTTTGTGAGCGCACAGAGTGGTTGAACGCTTCCCAAAATGTGTCCCACTCACATAGTTTCCCGCTGAATTTTGAAATAGGGATAGGTGGCAGGTTTGCTGCTGGAGGACTGAAATTTGTGTTACTCGAAACGTTGTTTTTTGCGGTAACTCTCACGTCCGACTTTCTATTAACCTTGGCATTGGCTGAACAATTCCTTCTACTTCTGTTCAGCAAACACGAGGTGCCATTTTATTTCTTTATTTACGTACAAGCTGACGTTTCGGCGGATTTCGCCTTACTCAGAGCCTGGAATGGTCAACTTGACAGCAATCCATTCGGCCAAACACCTCCATAACCAAACAGAGAAAACGCTAAACCAAGATTTCAATCACATTTAACACAGCTCTGTACACTCAACGCTTTCTATGAGTCCTCCACTGAGTATGTCGCGTGAAGACCAACCGCACAGAATTCACATGGAAGCGTAATGCGCCCCTCCTATCAAAATAACAGGTTTATATGCTGCCCTATATCACGCGTGATAATGAGGCATTCTTCTCTGCGGTTCATTTTCGGATTTCTGGAATTAACCCAGAACGCCTCGAGAGTTTTGAGCGCTTGTGTTCTTGACTCCTGCGCGAGGATCGTGACACGTACTTCAAAGTCCTCCCCGTTATGTCTCTGGGTCCTACGCGTGCGTAGCGGGGTATTTGGTTTATGTTTTCCGGCTAGGTGTTCTTTTATGCGGACACAGAGGGTCTGCCCGTTTCGCCAATGTATTCGTCTCCGCACGCCTTGCAGGAGTTTCAGATAAACTATACTCGAGCTCATGCAATCACCGTCTTTACCATTGAGGCAAATTATGCAATTTTGCGTTGCACACAGACGGTTATATAGGGGGTTACGAACTAGTTGGCGCCTAAGATTACTCAGTGGTATTTCAACTACGTTTACCGATTTCTCAAGACCCGCCCTTCTTAAGTAGCGTTTTATAGCTGCACTTATATCATTTGAGATGAAGGGTAGGATAAACGGGACCTTTTCATCGCTAGAGTTGTCGTTTGGGTGTCTCCTAATCTTGGTTTAGCGTTTTCTCTGTTTGGTTATAGAGGTGTTTGGCAGAATAGATTGCTGTCAACATGACCTTTCTAGGTTCTAAGGAAGGCGAAATCCGCCGAAACGTCAGCTTGTACGTAAATAAAGAAATAAAATAGCACCTCGTGTTTGCTGAACATAAGTAGAAAGAGTTGTTTTTTGCAACTTCTAAAGTGTTCTTTAGTTTGAAGAACTTGAAGAGATACATTGTCTCAGCACTTCATCCTGTTGATGTCAAACGTGTTATCTCGTGAGTAAAGAACCATACCGCACTCTGTAGAGTACGACTGGATGCGAACATCTGAAGAACCTATCACACATCGTAACAAAGTTATTACAAAGTTTTTCTGGTCTAGCTATTGTAGTTCCTTAGAGTTCCGATGTCAGCCAAGCCAAAATCTACTAAGGTCGTCACCACCACAGGCAGTCGCCACGCTTGTGGATAAGAGGGAGATTCGCCACCATGCGACTAATTTGCTACCGTGACGGGGATCCTGGTATTGGTTTACTTCTAACTGGGCTCCCAGGTGGAAACGCCAAACCCCTTCTCAGCTTGGGAGACCCTACTGGGGAGACGAATCTCTCGCTGTATATCGCAGCCGACACCAAGGAACACCTTCCAGCCACGATGAGGCCGTAAACAGTTGGGAGGGTTGAACTACTAATAACCAGTTTCTATAGATGTGTCAAAAAATCCTTGTTTTTCTGAACCTGAAGAGAAATGTACCCATGGTAAACGGATTCCTTCGTAATGCCTCAATCAAACACATAACAAAGCTTAAACACGTCTATACACAGAACCAAATTTAAAGTTGGGAAGTCAACATAATGAAAAATTTGGCTCAAGGCTGGATAAAAGAAAGCCAGCGGCTTAAAAAAAAACAATAATATCATCAGAAACATAGAGTACAAAAGAATGAACGACTTAATCGTGACGTTTGGCTCCCGCATCTATATGGCGCCTAATTTCCACTCGCACACGGTATGACTTGATGCCCAGTCATGCCGACCCAATTACCCCTAGGAAATGAGCCCACCTCTTTTTTTGAACTTTTTCTTTTCTGTAATTAGTTTTCCACTTATTTTATAAGTGCTTTCGGTGATTGTAACTGCTTATTACGCACCCTTGAAGTAATTCTACGCATTTATAGTTTTGAAATATTTCGAACTCTTGCATATGTTGAAAAATGAAACTAGTCTAATATACAACTACGCTGGATTCGGAATTTGGTAGTCGGTCTCATAACATTTATGAACCTTATGTCGATATTTTTTATAACCACTCATACGATATGATAAGCATGACCCATTATAAAAAAATAAAGCTCTTGGCGCTGATAAGCCCTGATGAATGCGCCATTCATTCGATTCCATCGGAAATATCGGAGTGAATGCACATCTGGCTGTTACAATACCTCGGGATGGTCTACCGATGTATCGAATCAGTGCAGCTATCCTCCCAGACAAGTCTGCTACGAATTTGCCGATCCTGGAGGAATTGAAGGTTTGCTGAGCCTGGGGTGCGGAGATCGATCCCATGTGTTTTGTACAGAGCCTCTAACCACTGTGTCACACGCGCTTATATGATCCGTTATAGTGATTATAATTGAAATAAAAATCAATTACTTATTAATGTTTACTTCTATGTGCTTCATATACAATGGGCTTTAGCTTAATGGGCTTACTAGGTTTTCAAAAAGAACCAATAATTCCTAGAGAATAAGAAATTTCGAGGCGGTAAGAACTTAGCAGGCTTAAAGGAAAGACGTCGATCTAACGCTCAACGAGTTTGTATAACTTCTTTAAAATGTTCTCTTCACTCTCCTCACTTTCGACTTTAACTTAGAAGTTAAATCTTCAATAAAATCAAAAACGATTTCAAAAATTTGAAGCCTTAAAAGCAAGCAGACATTAATCCTACCTTGCAGAATACCACATTGACTCGTTGGACGAGATCTCGATTTTTTAATCCCTCGCTGTTCGAAATACGAGCTTCGACGGAAAAAGTCCGTTTGTGAGCTCAACCTAATCATAACTTCATCTTGGTAAAACAAGAAAGGCTGTGTTTCTTTTGCTATGACCTGTAAATTCCAGTGGTTTCTACTGTAATAAATCAAGTTCACTAGTAGCTTATAAGCTTGTTTAACGTCCAAAAGACAAATTATTTTCGGCCGTACAGGAATAGCATGAGGCATGATGAGTTGGTAAGTAATGGGAATGAATCAGCATTATGACTGTAAAGATAAGAAGAATCGATAATTTAGAAAGTTTACATCAGAATAACTGCACAAAATAGAATAAGAACCAAAGAAACTGGAGTTTCTTTCTGCTCTACGAAACGAGGAATATTTCGGGAAATCAGCCCTTATGTTATAAGAAGCAGCCGATCTCCATTGTTATCTAGGTTTATCCTTCTTTCCTTCTTCCGTTAACAGCATGTTATGAAAATAACGGAGGTGGAAACAATAGAAACTAAGTGAAACAAAAACATTGATGAAGGCTTAGCTGTTCTATGGGCAACAGTTTGGTGAGCTCGAATAAGAAGCTATGGCTAGGTTAAACCTGCATATGTCTCTTCAATGACTTACCCTCTTACAGTAGTGAAGAGATGTAACCTAAATGTCGAATGTATCAGATCAGTGCTCAGGTTCTTGTTTACCATCTCTCGTGAAGCAGTCTGTCTGACGGCCATTCTTCCAATCATAAACATTCTCCTCTCAACGAAATAAACACATCCGGAAAAGTTTCTTTTTATAGACAACTGAACTCCGAGAGTAGGTTCTCATGACCGATTGATTTAGTAATGATCTCCGTTGTATAAGCTACAGAATGATTACAAAAAGTACAACAAATACCTCACTACATCGAAATAGACGAACGCGAAGTGAATGAGCTGACATCAATTCACGCAGGCCCAACTGCTCCTCCCCATGTACGAGTGAAAATTGACCTACGTGAGATTCCAGGTATTAACAGGATTAAAAATGACTACGTTATCAAACTCGTTATCGATGTGACACCAGTAACAACTCTTATCACTTAATGAGACAGAGAAGGGCAAATGTATTTAGCAGTAACAGTAAAATTCTCATTCGTCGACAACTTAACTCTTTCCTGAGTTACTTTAAAAATATCAGATGGTGCAGTTCAAAGAACCAAATTTTCAGGTGCAGTAGTAGTTGCCGATCAACACGAGTATGGTACCGGCTCCATCTCACACTGAGTTCACCAAGCCTCTCATCACTACGGAGTCCAGAAACTGGTAAAGAACTTCTCTGGGAAAAGTTCACTCCTCCAAAGAAGAACATTCCAACTCGGCTATCGCAGAACTTCAGGAAGAATCGGCTGGACCAGAGTTCGACACGACCTTCCTGACGAAAGGAAAATCCGCAAGCAGAAGCCGAAGCCACATGTAAAATAGTTGGAGGACGTTCATGCACGATGAATACGATAATACGAATGGAATCCAGAAAATGCTGGGATCGGCAGAGTAGGTGTAAATGACGGGTTATGTGGAAAAACGTTAGCTCTAGAAACCTTAAGGTAACGTATCAGGATGTGAACACAGCCTAGGACTGACTCGGAGTCCTATCTTCAATACTAACTCTATTTCATGACATTACGAGTTTCGTTCATAAAAGTCGAGCAGCAGCACAAATGAAGTCTTTGGTATTGCAGCAGCACAAATGAGGTCTTTGGTACTGCAGTAGCACCTGTCAGTACAACGTCAGATCACAGCAGTACAATCGCTAACAGAACTACCATTATCCAGAGATCATGCAGCTTTGAAACCTGTTTTGGTACACTAGTAGTCATTTTTTGCTAGAGAATACAAAGTAAAAACAACCCACGCAACAAAACAAAGAAGAAAAATCGATGAAAAAGTAGAACAACCACCCCACTGCGATTTCCTCAGAAAATGCTTAGATCGGTGTCAGACGACACACTTCGTGTGTTATCTGTCACTACAGTCAAAACAGTTTTGAGTACGGCAGGACGCCTGGATCGGTGTTCTCATTGTTCGCTCTTCGGTCCAGTTAGTTGAACTTGTCGTTGTCTTATGTGCTGTAAGGGTTTTCAATGTTGGCAAATGACTTGTCCTATAGAAGTTATAGTCTTTTTAGTTTGTAAGGAGTACGTTTCAGGATTGGCCATGCCATTTATCCAGGATCGTAGCGTTTTCCTTCAATCAAAATCACATGACAGGCAGGCGGATGCTTCAGGAGGAGGACGCGAAAGTCATGCTTGTATATCTAATCGTGTACTATAAAATCAAATACGAAGTTAGCGGAGAGTTGAAAAACTTTAGATTTTCCGGAATCGTCACGAGGTGGTGGCGCCGATCCACCGGCGCGGTACGTTGGCTTCCCGGCGTCGACGCTACCATCATCAGCGGATGACCCGTTTGCCGGTGCTCTGCTAGGATTGGCTGAGTGAGTTCACGGTTTTCTTCTATGTATTCTTTGGAATTCACTAAATTACGAATCTGTTAACACTTATTTCTTGCTATGATGTTGAGATATTTGCAAAACTTGAACGCCAGGCCAGATCGAACCACGACTACGCTTTACGACGGCTCGCGTATTACACATTGCACCACTGAGGTCCTTGCTTTGCCTTTCTCTCTAAGTTTTTCCGAGTTTTCTATCTCACGGTGCCATCACCAATCAGCCGTCAACGGGATTGATCTGGGGAGCCCAAATCGGCATTGAACCCAGTTAAGCTGAGGCTCTACTCGGAATCACAATGTTAACTTTTTATTTACTGCCCACTACAGTTTTTCACGGCAGAGTGTACTTGTTTTTTTCCACTGGTCTTCGTGGTTGTCAAATAACTAACTATTCAAATCACTCAGCCATACACGGAGGAAGATTCCAATTTCTATGGTGTCACTTTTTACTTGTTTGAACTCGGTGCCAATTTGTGCTCCTCAGATGAATCCCATTGACAGGTGATTGCTGATAACATTTATAGGTCAGTAACACGAATGAGAGAAAAGCGAAACGAAGGGCTTGCATGTTGTGTTGGTGTACGCGTTAGCCCCTGGAAACGGTAATATCGTTTTCGGTCCCTACCGCAGACACCACCGCTCCATAGTGTTGCGAATATCTCGGCATCATTATGGTTATATTGCAATTCCTGTGAAAATTTCACAAATACTCTTAAATAGTGTATTGAGGAATGGCATTTGCCAAAAAAAAAGTTGGTAATGGTGTTTTCTGTTAAAAAGGTTCAATTTGTTTTCCTTCACCTTGCAGCCTTACCTTTTGACATACGGATAGTGTTTATTTGGTGACTATGTGGGCTTAGTTAACTGTCCATATTTCCGATTCATCTCAATTTTCCGCCCTAAGTGTTATCCGTTACTACAATACCTGGATTTGTATGAAGGCATTAAGAGACCAACGTATCTGTTCGATCTTTTTAATACAGTGACACTTAAACATTGGTGTTAGAGGGATCAAAATAAACGTATTTGAACATTACAAGAGGAGTCAGCACAGCACTATAGGTGCTGTCCCGTGATATTCACAAGGTTTGACCCCACTTTCTATCAAGGGAAGCTCCTATCCATGCAGAGCTTCGAAATCGATACCAGATGCATATGGAACGTTCCAATCCACCTCATCGAGAGACGTTAGCTAGTGTGAAATAAATATTATCCTAACAACCTTATGTCTGCTCACGAAAAAACACTTACTAATGAATGCCGAAGTTAACAGAAATTCGGTTCAGGAATTATGGATTTGATACATTGGCTGGCAAAGGTAAGTCATTATATGGCCAGGGTATCTATTAAATTGCCTTTACAGTCTTAGCGAAATCAGATTCTCGGCGTACCTCTCATGGACCAGTCAACGCCGAACTCGTTTGCCCCTTAGGCCTTCGATATAAACGCGGTTGGAGGCGATGGCAATAAAATGCCTTCAAATTCATGGTTTAAAAATCGTGACCATGTCCAGACATTTAGATGGATTTTCATCCAGTTTGTTGTGTCCGTAGTGGTCATTGCTAAACCAATGAGCATGGCCTTTTCCAGTGTAGTGACAAAGCTTGTTATTGCCCATCCGTGTATGGTGCTTCGAAGACAGTGTCAGGTGCATCAAAATGCTCGATCACTCCATTTGACTCCGTTTACGTTGGTACCTGTGGTGTGTAACATGGTGGCGAATGAGGTAAATTCTGCTCCATTGTTTCCATCATGTGGATTATTTTGATCTTAAATTTTTTAAAGGGTATTATGACGTTTTGGAAGGGATCAGTTGGATCATGTGTTCTTTGGGGTCTGTCGAATGTGACTGAAATTGTGTTGGCTGATTTGTTTGGCCTACCAAGGTAATATACTTTATTAAAGGTTGCATACTATATTTCTACTAAAGCCTACTTGGATACTTAGATGGTCCATATTCACTGGTTGTGCTGGCCTTAGCATAATTTCCATTGTTTCGGAGTGTTCCTGGTTTATCCATTGTGGTTATCTCGAGTCGCGAGGTCAGCTAGGCCAAAGTTTACCTCAGGTCGTCACGGCCACAGACACTCTCCGCCTTTGTGGATCAGAGGGAAATTTCCCACTGTGCAACTAGACTGACACCAGGATGATGGTAGATCCTGGTATTGGTGTACTCTCAGCTGGATTTCCCGATGGAAATACCGAACTTCTTCTCAGCTTGGGAGACCCCGCCGTGGAGATAAATCTCCCGCTGTACATCGCAACCCGATACCCAGGAACACCTTCCAACCACGAGAGGCGGTAAATCGTTGGGTTCGCGGCAGCTTACACTCTTTAACATGTTCATAGTTGCTAATATCTAAACATTCATTTCCAGGTACATCGTTCCCAACGGTAGCACAACGAAGTACTGGAAGCATATCCTGTTAAAGGCGTAAGTTCCTAATGCAACTCGTGTTTAACCTTTTCGTAGAATTTCATTACGTCTTGTTAGGTTTGCTGTAACAAGTTTTGAGCAGATTCTTTAGCTCTGCAGTATTGACATTGACGCCGTTTTTTGTTTCCACATTCACGGAGACAGTTCGGGTGAGACTTCATTGTGTATAAAACCATTTTTTAAAATGCAATAGATGCATTTTTAGAGTGAATCTGGTCTAGGAGGTGAAGGCCCTGGTGTTATGGAAGTTCTTGTGAGAGGTATCGATAGATTAAGGTGGTTTATTCTTCTTAAATCTATTTTGTTTCTGAATTAGTATTTAAACTGCTGCCCATGGTATCATTTTCACGTTTACATTTTTTGTCTTACATTGTTTGTTTTGTTCATTGTGATGATCGAGAGGTCTGCAGGTTTCCAATTTTTGGTTCGAAGGATTCGTCGCGCCGATTTTCCGTGTTACACTTGGCGGTGCCTACTGTTCTCTATCGTACATTGCATTACATTATACAGACGAAGCTTTATTACCAGTTCTTTAAAATGGCCAGAAAATACGTGGTAAGATGGACGTTAGCTCAGAGACTATGTTAGTTTGTAGCAGTACCAGTATATTAATTGCATTTCATCAATTTAGAATAAAAAGCCAGAAGCGGAAAGGAAGAAATTTCATCAGTATATTCCACAAATGTTTGCACAGACATCTTCGACAATAACGACGGATTTAATTCTATTTCCTATTGAGACCGTAATGCACAGGATGTACATACAAGGTAATTCTTAACTTTCTTTTATAATTACGTTCAATAGGGACTCAAGTAGAGCAGTGGTCGGAGGCGCCCTCCAATACACATGGGATCGATCCCCGGGATGTCGATCGACTCAAACAGCATCTGCCAGTCATGGCGTCACCAACAGTTGTATTCTCTGTTTTCACTTAAAGCTGTTTTATTTCTCTGATGCCATTTGATCTTCACCTTTCGCACTTTCGCTCGTAATCTGAATACAAAATATAGTAGGGTGACTTTTCTTCATTGCATTTTTTGGGCGCATGTGGCACAGTGGTCGGAGGCGCCCTCCAATACACATGGCATCGATTCCGGCGCTCCAGGCTCACCTAGCTCTTCGTCTCTCCGGGTTCGATAAATTGGTACCAAACTTGTCTAGGAGGATAGCAGCAGTGGCTCGATACATCGGTAGGCCAATGCAAGTCTCTGTAAAGGCCGCACACCCATTCAATCACCTTCAACGATGCTAATTGAAATGGAATGCATTGCGCATTTCTCAGGGATTGATCAACTCTGAGAGCTTTTTTTAAAGTTACGTCCAATGAGGAACCGACATTTTTACCAGGAATGTTATGTACGACATAGATCGTTTATAAGTTTTAAACTTATGCGAGAACGTGACTTCTGTTGGAGTCAGATGTAGGAAATATGACCGCTTTTAACTTGAACCGAGCATATTTTATCTCATTGGTTTCTATTTTATACGATCCTCTTTTACATCTACTATGCGGTTCCCAGCAGTTCTTGCATTTCATTCGTTCTCTCGCATACATTATTCACGGAGATGTTTGATCCTTTCACGTACGGACTAAGCTGCTGTTTGAGGATTACCGTCTTCTGAGACAGAGACAAATACCTGAGAGACAGGCGAATCGAAGGACCCGCATGGTGCGGTGGTGAACGCGTTACTCCCCGGAAAGGACAATAGCGCGTTCGTTCCCCACCAAAGACACCTGTGGTCCAGAGTTTTGCAAATATCTCAGCAACGTTGAGGTTGTATTACCGTCTTCTTTATGATTGTCGTTGAATACTGCTCAAGGTCCGTAGGAGTCATGAGGTAGCCGGCCTGCAGCGTTTCTACCTGGATTCTAGTGAATTGACTGTTCCTAGATAAATCTAATGGTAATTTCAAGATCGCGGAGGGATGAGAGGCTTGGTGAGACCTGGCGGGGTTAAAGCAAAACAATATTTGTGATGAACGGCATCACTGCCAGTGCGCTACCCATTTCTGCTTACCCTGGATTTTATAAACTGCTGCTAAACTGTTGGCATCTACGAATTCTTTTCTATAGAATGAAAGTCTAGAAGTCTTTTTGTTCTACCACGATTAATTTTTTGTTTTCTGGCGCCGATAAAGCAAATTTTTTCCCTTTTGTATCTACAAAACGCATATTCCGAAAGCGTGAGCAAATAGACATGCGAGATTTCACCTAGCAGTACTCGACGATATTCACTAGCGTATTTTTCATGTTTGCGAGTGTGGCTCTTCCGTTGAAATTTTCAAAAAGCATAGATTTCGCCATTAATTTTTTTGAAAGTTTTGATTCTAAACGAGTTTAGCTTTTAGTAGGCGGTGTACTAAAATTATGCATAGGATTACTGCTCTAGACCAAAGCCTTTTCCTTGTAATGTACTGAGCTCCTGGAATACTCTAATGGTCGAGAAATCATCATCGGTCTTCGGGAAAGTTAATGAAGTTAATAGGAGTTGGAGCCTCTTAGAATATGTCATCATTGTGATCCGTTGCTGTAATTGCATTAAAAGTTCAGGTATAATGTTCATCTTTGTTTTTGGTAATGTCGACATTTGCCCTCAAGCAGGTTCGAAATCAAACATCTGTGCACATACATGCATATATATATATATATATATATATATGCATATACATACATGTGTAGAACAAGGAGTCATGTATATATATACATGTATATATGTATATATATATATACATATATGTATATATATATATGTATATATATACATGTATATATATATACGTGTATATGTGTACATATATATATATACGTGTATATGTGTACATATGTACATATATACATATATTTGTGTGGGATAAAACAAATGGATAAAGTGTTCCGAATTATTCAATTCCTAGCGAAGCTCTATGCATTCGACTTGGTCAGTCATCGTAGTGGTGGTTGAGTGCATATCTGGCCTGCAGAGTGAATTGCAGTGCGTATAAATCAGTGGTTGTTCTATATGTGTGGAAAGTGTTATTCCTTCAAGTGCTCCAGTTATCGAAGAATTATCAGCCGTTGAGTGGTGTAAAAATGGCGAATTCGAAAAGTTCACCCCATCGAGATAACTTTTGCATACGATGTCTAGTATATTGCGAATAAGATGCAACAATGTATTCTTATTTGTATGTTTTTCTTTAAATTAAAGTAATTTAGGAACGCGAACTCTTATTGACAACCTTGATACGGGTCTTTCTGCCATTTCTATCACTGCAAAGTACAGTGGTTTTGTCGATTGCCTCCGATCAGTTCTTCAACATGAAGGATTTTGGGCGCTGTACAGTGTGAGTGAGGACACTGTATGGATTGCCTTTTTTCGTTCATTCAATTATACAATTTCAGGGTGTGGGAGCGTTGGCACTCGAATATTTATTGCATTCGCTTTTGCATCAGGCAGTACGTGCATGTTTTGATAGAGGCTCAGAGGTATGCTCACAGTTTTAGGGAAGCTACGTGGGTTATCAGGTTTTGCTACTTTTTCTTTTTTGTTAGGATAATGTTAACACTGGCGTGAGTGGATTTCTACTCATAAATAAAGTTGCGGTCGGTTTGAGCTGCTGTCAGCTCATTTTTGCAACTGTTTATTTTGCCGTCCGAAGGCTTTTTGTTGTAATTTCTTTGCACTCAATAAATAACCAACCCATCATAGGTTATTGTCCTTGGCATAGAACGTCGAAGGTTATTTCGTATATTTATCCCTTTCAAAAGTACTTCGCTTTTGTCAGAGTCATACGTTGCCAAAAATAATGCTCGCCTTTAGTTTTAAGTCAACATAGCTCATAGTGAATTTTACTAGTCACTATTGAAGTTTTCTCGTTTACTATGATGAAATCTTGGATTTTTTGAAACGTACGACGTATATTTTTCCTACGCTTTTTCTCTTCCTTGATCTCATGTTTCTAACATGAATGCAAATAAGCTGGCGCGATTTCGTCTAGTAGGATAAGTTGGTGTTCCCTGATCCATCACTGATTTTTAGCTTAGGATACCAATCTTTTTGACAATCGATTCTAAACTTACTAGAAGGCTCTTCTACAAGGATTATTAACACCACTAATGCGACAGAGCTTAGTCTGTTTTATGAAAATGTATAGTTCTGAGCTCTTGAGGTGTTTTGTCGTTGGGAAAATGAGTTTGTTTCATGAATGAGAGGCTAGGAGTGAGGACTGGATAGCTCATAGAGCGTGGTTCTTCTTTCGAAACTCATATTTCGGACACCGAAGCGATTGAGCAAACGAGATTCCATGCAACAATACACTATTGTAATTCTTCATATTCTTGTTGAGCAAACGCGAGGTGTTATTTTATTCTTTATTCACGGATTTTGCCTTCCTCAGAGCCTGGAAGGTTAAGTTGACAACACTCCATTCTGCCAAACACCCATATAACCAAACAGAGAAGATGCTAAACCAAGATTCCAATCACATTGAACACAGCTTTCCACACTCACCGCTTTCTATCAGTCTTCCACTGAGTATGTCGCGTGGAAACCAACCGCAAAGAGTTCACATGGAAGCGTAATATGCCCCTCCCATCAAAATAACATGCTTATATGCTGCCCAATACCTCGCGTGATAATGAAGCATTCTTCCCTGCGGTTCATTTTCGTATTTCTGGAATTAATCCAGAACGCCTCGAGAGTCTTGTGCGCTTGTGTTGTTTCCTGTGCGAGGATCGTGACACGAACTTCAAAGTCCTCCCCGTTATGTCTCTGGGTTCTATGCATGCCTAACGGGGTATTTGGTCTATGTTTGCCGGCTAGGTGTTTTTTTATGCGGGCACTGAGTGGTCTACCCGTTTCGCCAATGTATTGGTCTCCGCACACCTCACATGAGATCAGAAACCTGTACCCGTGCTCATGCAATCACCGTCGTCTCTTTAAGATTTTTCGTTATCTCAAAATCCAACTGATGGGGAATTACGACAAACTCTCCACTATCCGTTAGTGATAAGGGTGGAGAATTTGTCGTAATTCCTCATCAGTTAGATGTGGAGATAACGAAAAAGCATCTTGAAGATGCTTCGCTTTATCGCCCATCATCTGAGAAGGAATTTAAAAGTAAACACCGAAAATTGAACCACGAATGGGCCAAAATGGCAAGGGCCGCTGGTTTAAAACCATCAGTTATTCCTCAATTAAAAATTGACTTACCAACATGCCCCGTCTTGTACTTACTTATAAAAACTCATAAGTTAGTATCCAGCGATGATCTTGCGTCTAACGATCCATCACTATTTAAGGTTAGACCTATCATTAGCTGCGTAGACGGGCCGACGGACAGGATAACATGGTTTTCAACCCTAATATTTAACCAGTTGTTGAAACACATTCCAGCCCATCTTACGAATATCCAGATGTTTCTGGATCGTCTACGTACTGCGCAGCCCAACAGCGCGTGCGTGATGGAGTCCTTCGACGTTACCGCCCTTTATACAAACGTGTCGAATGACTCCGCAATGCAAGCCATATTCGAACTCTTTACACAATACGAAGGAGAAATAAACATGTATGGCTTCAGGATAGAGCANATAACATGGTTTTCAACCCTAATATTTAACCAGTTGTTGAAACACATTCCAGCCCATCTTACGAATATCCAGATGTTTCTGGATCGTCTACGTACTGCGCAGCCCAACAGCGCGTGCGTGATGGAGTCCTTCGACGTTACCGCCCTTTATACAAACGTGTCGAATGACTCCGCAATGCAAGCCATATTCGAACTCTTTACACAATACGAAGGAGAAATAAACATGTATGGCTTCAGGATAGAGCAACTGATGGCACTCTTAAAAGAATGCTTGAGTTGCTCATTCTTCTGATGGTCCGGAAAGTACTACACTCAAATAAGAGGGTTGGCAATGGGACAACGAATGGCACCAATTTCTGCCATTTCATTTATGTCTGTAGTGAAAGCATCAGTGATCGATCTCGGGCCGTAACTATACTGTAGATATATAGATGACTGTTTTGTCCTTTGCTCAACACAAGAGGAAATGGACAAATGTTTCGAGTTGTTGAACGAACAGTTAGAGTCTATTAAGTTCACCCGAGAGAAACCGAGAGAAAGCTGGTTTCCATTCCTGAACGTGCAAATTACCTATCAGAAAGCAGCTACGTTACGAAGTGGTATCGAAAGGCAAGTAGTAATAGCATCTTGGTTCATTACCTCTCCTCTCACCCTTCTCACATCAAGAGGACGCTTGTAAGAAACATGTTTCGAACAGCAACCAAAGTGTACATCCGAAGAGACCAGAGAGAGGAATCCAGGAATTTGGCGAGGCAGAAATCCTACCCTTCGTCTCAAATGACAAATGCAGTAGAGAAGATGTAGATACTATTATAGCGATAGATAAACGTCTTTCCTATAAGTCGATCACGTTCTCGTTCGCTACAAGATATTTTAGTTGTCTAGAAATTATGGAGAGTTGTTGAAAAACCAGTGCAGTCCATTGTGTGTCAACCATATAGAAATGAACTTTAGCAAGCAATTTGTTATTATATCATCTCTGATCACTTTAAGGATGGATTGATACTAGAAAAATATCGACAGGTGGTTCACAAATATCGTGAGGCAGTTTCCCAATTGATGCCAACAACGTTGTTGTATAGCGTATTAATTTTGTTCTTTTTAAACCAAATTGAAGAGTTTGGTATCTTTCAAAGGCGCAAGAATGCATAGAACTTGGAAGTTACGGAGTTAGCAAAAATCACTGAAAGGACCAATGAAATACTTAGGAAACCCTGAGTATAAAGATAGAAAGTGGGCTATTTAATAGGGGCAATAGGGCGGGATGAGTTGATATCTTGATATCAACTCATAGCGAGTGCAGCGAAGAACTAGGCTCACAGCAGCTGTGGAGGCCACACTGTTTTAGACATTATAATCTAAAACTTGGTCAAAAACATCCATTTGCTATTTTTTCACAGGTGCTTCGTCATGCTACAGAAACCAACTTTAATACCTCTATTGATCCTGGAGGTATGGTTCTAGAACAGCTTTCGTTGTCTTTATTGAAAGCTACCGCTGATTTAAATTTTCAGGTTCAATTTCTTCATCGTTCGTAGGAACGTCATCAGGAACTATTTCTGGTCCAGTTCCACAATCATTGTCACCTGTAATAAGTCCAAGAAAGTAAGTACGTATTGTATTCACCAGTAAAGTGTAAAAATCCAATTGGTGCACACAAGCTTATGTCTTGTGTATTCTGGCATGCAGCTTTCTTTGAATGTCGTAGTAGCAGAAGCTGTGACTATTGTCGCCAATTTTTTGGAAGAATTTCTTCTGGACGCAAAATAACAAAGTGGTGCGCGGCTACCAAAAAGTGACTACTGTGGTGTACTTTAGCGTTGACTAGTGCCAATGTACTTTTATTGCACTATTTTGTTTTGCATCATAGAAGACATTTTTGTGAATTCACACAGTGCGCCAAGTAATGTTGGCTATGAACTCTGTTAGACATAGTTTTACTATTCTTTGTCGAATTAAACCACCCCGGTTGTCATGGTCCGTTATCTATTTTGACGATGTTCCCTGTTGTGCAGGCAACATTCATCACATACGCCTCCTATTCGCGATGCCACACAATTTCCTACGTTTGGTGAATCAGTTTCACAACTAGATTCATCGTTTGCAACACCGACACTTCAGTTTCCCTTCCATTCAAGTCGACCTAACGCTTTTGGTAGCCCACCGAGGTAAGCAGCGCTTCATCATTCTATTGCATTTTTCAGATTATGATTTGAGTTCTTTTGCTTGCTGCCCACTAAAATATTTAGTAGGAAAAACAAGAAAATTTACTCGCTGCCAACAAAAAAAAAATGTAGCAGGCAGCAAATAAAAAGTTAATTGTGATTTCTAGTATAGCCTTAGCTTAACTGGGTTCATTGCCGATTTGTGTTCTCGAAATCAATCCCGTTGAAGGGTGATTGCTGATGGCATTGCTAGATAGAAAACTAGGTGAGAAAGGCGAAACGGAAGACCCGCACGGTGTGGTGGTGAACGCGCTAGCTCTGGAAAGGGTAACGACGGGTTCGTTCCCCACCGCAGACACCTGCAGTCCGGAGTTTTGCAAACATCTCGGTATCATTATGGTTGCATAGAGTATGATTTGGCCTTCCACAGCTTAGCTTCAATGCTTTTTGTGTTTGAGAAAATTTGCGCTTGGATATAGTACGGTGACAAAGTTAAAGTGTATTGTTGATTGTCAAGTTCGCCGTTCTTGTGCCTACCACTTAGTGGCGTGGTAGTACAGATAACGAAGAAAAGCACTAGTACATAAAAAAGACGGTTTCAGGACTGTCGACCGACCATTGCCGTCAGATTTCTTACCTACCCATTTCACTAGCTAGGTACAGGCCTAAGGATCGTTCTACTTGCAATAGATTTGCATTTCATTATCATTTTCGTTGATACGATAAGTTGTTAGTACATTATGTTTGGTTAGTACTAACCTTCAGTGAATACCAAAACAGCTTGGTAACTACTTTCATATTACGTTGTTTAATTGTGTAGCGTTTTTAGTAATGTGCTAGACAATTCTCGTGATCGATGTATGTTTAGTGAATATTACTTTCTGGGACCATTGTACGCATTAAAATGGAGGATAGAATGAATTTGCTATAGCTTTAGGTCCCCTGTTGTTCCGTAGCAGTTGGAACTTTTGGCCAGTCTTTTACCGGTGCCGAGTTAACTGCATTTATGTCGTTATAGAACTAAAGCCATATGAACTTAAACCTACCGTTACTACTGTGTTTATCGTTTTGGTGGAAAAACGTTGCATTCGAACGGATATTTCCAGATGCCTGTTGTGTTTTAATCCAGTAGAGTGTTTTACTAGCTAACCGTCTTTTTTTATGTTTTATAACTGCAATTCGGTTTGCTCGAAGAAATTCTTCCCTTTTTGAGGACGTGACAGTGATCCAGATGGGCGATAATTGGGGTAAGAATAATGGCTACATTTTCCTGCTCACGGCTTCACATTGCTTCCATTATTTTTTACCTTTAGAAAATTTATGGTTTAGATGATGATGATTTTGAACCAGAGGTTCAATCTCTAGCACCTGCACCTCCGCCTGTTGTGGAGGCCGAACCAGTTAAACCTGATGCACCTGTGTTGAAACCAAAAAAGGTTAGTGTTTTGCAGTTTTATTTGTCATCGTTCATGTTTACAATTCATGTCAGGCGTTTCCTAATATGGAGAGTTTTTCCCGGGAATTATCAGCTGCTGAGAGAGAGGAAATAGTACGACGACAGGACCTTGCGTTAGCTATGGAAATGTTTGGTGGTATATAACTCATATTATATCCATAATGACGCTGAGTTATTTGCGAAACTCCGACCGCTGATGTATGCGGATGGGATCGAATACCCTATTACTCTTCCAAGGAGCTAACGCGTTCAATAGCACGTCATGCGAGTCCTTCGTTTTGCCTTTCTCTATTGTAACTTTCTATAATTTAAATTATTCGACCATTCTGAGGAAAACTGCTGTTTTGTTTTTTCATTATCAACCGTTCACATTTCGTTGTTTCTTTTTTATTTACTGCCTGCTGTTCTTTTCATGGCAGAGTATTATGTGAAATAAGCCAACGTAGATGCCGAGATATGAGCAAAACTAGGAGCCTCAGATAAACACCGAACACGCAATTACTTTTTCCCGTGGTTCACGTGCTATCCAGTTCCGCAGCTGAGGCCCTTGCTTTCGTTTTCCCTTAACGGGTTCTTTACTCTAACGTCGCAATCATATCTCGGCATCCTTATGGTTGTATTTCATATAACACCTTTCCATGAAAAAAGAAGAATAGACAGCAAGTAAAAGTTAAACATTGTGATTTCGGCTGCAGCTTCAGCTTAACTGTGTTCAGTGCCGGTTCTTGGTCTCTGGATCATTCCCGTTGACGGGTGGTTCCTGGTAGCACCGTTAGCGTAAAAAACGTGCCGAGAGAAAGACAAATAAAGGACTCGGTTGGGGTGGTAGACAGCACGTTAATCCCGGAAAGGGTAATCACGGGTTCGAAGCCCACCTGAAGTGCCGAGTTTTGCTGAAATCTCAGCATCCATATGATTGTATTACACATTCATGATTAACCTTTGCTTATTGATTGGTTTCAATTTTTTATTTTGCATAATTTCCTTTTTTGAACAGAAAAACCGGTAACCGGCGATGAACGTCCTTATAGCGACATCATCACTAAAGAAGAATTCGAGGACTGGGGATTGAAGGTGAATACTATATTCGTAGTCATGCTTACCCGGCAAAATTACAAAAATGCTTACCATTTGTTGATCTGTTAGTCCTGGAGTATTGAATCTCTTCAGTTTTGGTCGAATAATTATCCCTCGGATGAAGCATTGTTGTACAAAATTGACCAGTACTTTTTCTTTTAATGAGATCTGTAGTCAGCCAAAATAGTATGGCCGTAAGCGCTAGAAGTCTGGCCTTACTTTACCTACCTATAAGTTCCAGGTTGGTACATTTTTGGCAACGCGATGTAAGGCAGCTCATTATGGTGATATGCTCAACAAACTTATCCAAACTGTCGCTGAGAAATGTAAGTCTATACATTTTTAGCGTTCTACCTTTATGATATCCGTAATTGTAATAGAGCAACCTAATCTTATGTTCTTATGAGATGGAAAATGTGTAGGGGATTTTCACTATTAATACATATCTCAAGAAAATTTATGTAAGATAAATTATGTCGGAATCGGTTAATTATGTGACGTGTTAATTTTTTATTTGCTACCTAGTACAAGCTGGGAGACAAGCGAAACGAAGGACCGCAAGGTGTGGTAGTGAGCGCGCTAGTACTCTGAAACGGTAATAGCGCGTTCGATCCCCACCGCTGACACCTACGGTCTGGAGTTTTGCAAATGTCTCGGCATCGTAAACGTAATTGACGTAATGACGTGCTATTCAAAAATTTCCAGAACTAACTTAAGACTTATTTCTGCCTAATATTGTAAAACAAATTCTCGGATAGCAAAAATATGAATATGTGTTGAATGTAGGTTGTTGGCAGTTTACTTCTTTAACACGTTGATGAATTAACCCTTTTCCTTTTTCCTTTTTCCTCATTGGTTTTTGCTGCACTTCTGTGATTATTCGACACCTTATGTGCCATTCAATAATACACGTAAGTTCTGATGCGATCTTTCCCGGAGCAAACAAGCCTCTCTTCCCTCAGAGGTTGGGAAATTAAAGTCAAACTTATCTGAGAAACACATTCACATTAATAAGGAAGACCAAAGTGATCAAGCAGCAGCAGAAATCACGCGCAACTCTGAAGACATTCGTATGATCAGTACGGGGAAACGAATTGAATGGAAGAAGTGCTGAAACTCTCACAATGCGTGATTTCGGATCATGTGAAAGAATGACGTTTTTAACCCAGATGTGCGATATGTCGACCGAGAGGACATATGTTCTACACTTGATGACGCAAAATATCCTTTTTCGGACGACCTTGTTTCCCGTGTACTCAATGGTTAAAAATCTTTTAGAAGCATACGACAGTATGTACCAGGTCTTATACGATACGCAATGTATGAACGACATAGAATCAGTGAATTACAAAGAAAAGTCTTTTGCGATATTGGTATTTTGTCTAGTAACATATGACTGATGGAGCTTCCGAAAATTAGGCGTTGTCGCCAGTGTGATAGATCCTAGTTTATTTTTTCAAAGATTGTAATTCTAATCCAAATCGATTTTAAATTTATAAACCTTGTTACAACAGAAATATGCAGTGAAGGGCTTTATCTTTGTCACTGCTGAAAAAAATGGGAAAATACAATTTTGTTATTGTCATAGTCTGCCTAGTGTTCCTTTTTCAGTGGAACCATCGGAGGTTCGAACATTGTCCAATTACCTGAAAACTATTGCAGACACAAAGAAGGCAACTGTTAAGGTACTTCTTTCTCTTATAAATTGACTACGCTGCTTGTTTGTCTATTATTACTATAACTACTATTTATGACTTTTTTGACGCATGGTATATTTCCTATGCATTTCGCTTCCTTGCGATTGTCTCTAGAGGCTGCCAGTAGTAGAGGTAATAGCCCATGTCGTCCCTGCCGCGTAGGACTTGTAGACGGGCGTAGTGACTGCGCGAACCTCAAACCTGACTTATTAGACCTCTATGCATACATGTAGCCTAGTGGTTAAAAGTGCTAGTCAATGCACAAATTGACTTTGTTTCGACTGGTAGTATGCATTCTAATCCCGCAGCATTACAATACTGGCAAATTGGGAAAGGACTCCTTTGTCTAGGAGAAGCTCGCTACAATCCGCAAACGCCGACCACTCCATTTTATGAAAACCAGGGAGAATCTAGCAGGGTTATCCGAAGATTCTTGGATTTCATATTCGGCAAACCTTCATAGATATCCATAAAGAACACAAAAATCCTCAGCTTGTAACCGAACAAACAGGAAATTCTGAAACGTTCGTGGCTGACAGAAGTGAAACAACGTAACGAAAGAAACCGCCCTGATCTGCACGAAGCGTGAAGACTAGTCATATAGACAAATAACAAAACTCTACATGCAAACAATATGAATAATAAACGAGTAACCGAGTCAGTATATTGACTGATGAAATGAGGAACAACTAACATATCCATTGGTTACGACACAACAAAGAAAAATCTGTGGCAAGAGAAACCTCATAAGGCATAAAAGCATAAGGCTTTTGGCGTTGATGAATCCGTGAGGGATGCGCAGTGCATTCGACTTCATTAAGCATCGTTAGAGGTGAATGAATGCATATCAGGCCTTTACAATGGCTCGCGGTGGCCTACTGATGTATCGAGCTAGTTAGTGCTAGTATCCTTCCAGACAGGTCTGGTACCAATTTGCCGACACCGGAGAGATGGAAGGCTTGGTGAGGCACTGGAACGGGGATCGATCCTATGTATGTATTGCAGGGCGCCTCCGACCACTGCCCATACGCTCTACAGGGAAAGCTTATACTGAGAAAATAGAAGAATTTACGACTTCGTAGCACTATTTAAATATGGTTTCGGAATGGGCGGATTTTTTTTTTTACATTAATTGTGGGAACCGTCTAGTAGTGTGAGGAGTTATTCGTTTAATTTCGGCAAGTTAGGAGATAGAAATATTACAGAATACATAAATTATAGGGCTGTATTAAAATTTTTGCTAAGGAGACATAATGAAAAAAATTTGCTCATGTAACAAAGTTATAACACGTTGACTTGCCTACTTTCCGGCCTTCATAATTTAGTTAGTTCCTAGGTGGTCACTCCCACTTCTTTGCATAACTGTTGTGTATATGTGTTACTGAAATCCCACGATTCCTTTACCTCATCGATGGTGTAGAAGTGTGTTTCGTGTAAGCTTTGAGATATTAAAATTGTCCATATGTGATAGCAATTTTTTCATAACTGGGTATTACTCTGTGCCTAACGGAACGGGTTCCGAAGGGATCAGGCTTTAGTAGCTGAAATTTACGAACGTAATGTGCTTATTTGGGGTGTGGTGTTTTATGGCTTTAGATCAGTGATTTGGAAACCATTCGATTCTTCCACGGTTTTTTCACATTATTTCTCCAACATGGTTGTTGCTGTCCTTCCGCCTTCTTAAGCTCTGTTTGAACCAATTTCAGAGCCCATTTCCACGTTTTTTTTCCTAATCCGTTTCGAAGTCTGTAGAGGAATTCGTGTTCACTTATTTCTGTGCCTAGTATCTGAAGACGGAGCGTAGCCGAAACACCTGCAAGCCCGCATAGGTTCCTCTGCACTGTTCGTAGTCCACCCAGTATCTTGGCTGCTTTGTTTATATCAGTTTGTGGACCTGAATCGCAAATTTATTCGCCAATCTCATAGATATTTCTTCAAGACTCTTGTAACCTTGCGTTGTTCACTTTAGCGTTTTTCTCTCCGATTCGTCGTCACCTTGTTTCTTTGGGTAGACATCCTATTCTAGGCTCCGCTCTATAGTTCTGTATTCTTGCACTTTATTTTGAATCGCAAGGGTGAACTATTTAGCGAAAATTTTATTGGCGTAATCTGGATCTTTCGTTGATGTAATGAAGTTTTCAAAAATGAGGTATTAAACCGCAAATCATATGCATACAGAAGCGCTTCCATTACTGTTACCTCGAACTAACGAGGTTGGTGTTTTGGTACACGTAAGTGGATTGATAATGGTGTCTTTGCGAAACCCAAACCCGCTTTATACTATTTTACGGCTATTCCGAGAACAGTCCTTCCTGATATATTTAGCTAATCTTGTTATATAAGTTGTTTTCACCACTTTATCGGCGAGTTATAGTAACGTACTTTACGTCTATGCGTGATACGTAGAAATTGGACTGTTTTAGCGAAGATACAATGCCGTGTTGGTTGTCATAAATACTCGTAATTTCTGGAACCCAAATCACAGTCGGTATTGATATTGTTTGGCTTTCTGCTGTGCCTCTTTTCACACTATTCGTTACATTTCGAACTTCAGCTGGAAGGCTTGAGGTGGTTTTATCTCGGTGGCCATTTTGGGAACTCCAGCAGAGTGATCGAACGGTAAAAGTTTCAATAGAACTTTGCAAACTTAAGCACCTAGGCTGCCCTTTTTCACGAGTAGTGTGAACACCAACGAATTTTATGCCTTCTTCCCTTGATATTATCGTCTACAGTGATGACTTGTGTTGAGTATAATGACGCATGCGCACACCTTCTAATGTTTTACAAATCCTTTGATACTGTGAATATAGCTGACTTATGTAAGCTATCAAGCCCATCCATCCTAGGTTTTTTTTTGATTTTACTCTGTTGTTGATCTCGTCCATCTTGTTGTCGACTGTCCTGGTCATGTGAATGGTCCACGTTTACTTTATTTTCGAACAAAAAATTTTACATTTCGAAGCACGATTAGTTGCTGAAGATGTTAACTGCGTATTTCGGCTAATTTTGGGTTACCTCGTTCAACACTCATTGGCTGTTGAGTAGAATTTATGAAGTGGGAAAATTGTCAACGTAGGCGTTTGTTATATAGCATATTGCGGGCGATTCTTGATTCATGAGGTGGCTCAGAGTTTTTAAAGTCAGGACGTTTTATGTGGTGTTCCTGTTACACATAACCAGTTTCTACCTTCTAGGCTATCGAATTTACTTAGCTTGTAACTGATTCCAGTCTTCGCACCTAGGAAATCCTGATGGTTGTACACAGTATTAAGCAGTAGTCCTTTGGAAATAATAGGAGTTTGCTTTTAACGGTGGAGTCGATTTAGTTATCCTGCCAGCAGATCCTTCGCCCGTTGGTACCCTGCTTCACAC